TAGCCACGTGGAAGGACCGTCTCCCGCTGTTTCTGCCGTCCGATTCTAAGTGCCAGCCATACAAGTGAAGAGGCCAAACTGGACACGCCAGTCCCCACAGCCATGCTGGGAGACGAAGCCATTCGGACATATCCAACAGTCAGAAGCAAGGCCCAGACGCAGAGACATTATCTTCATGGCAGCCATAGCCAACTGGATGAGCCCTCCCAGTGGAGACCCCTGGAATGAAGATGAGCCGCCCCCATGGGCCCTGTCTGAACTTCTGACTCACAAAATCATGAGCATGATGAGAGGGTTCACCAGTAGACACCACCACCTTTTATGGTTTATTACATTACAGGAAAGGGGTCCCAATCCAGACGCCAAGGGAGGGTTCTTGGATCTTGTGCAAGAAAGAATTCAGGGCGAGTCCATAGAGTAAAGTGAAAGCAAGTTTATTAAGAAAGTAAAGGAGCCAGGTGCGGTGGCTCACGCCTGTAATCCTAGCACTTTGGGAGGCCGAGGTGGGTGGATCACCTGAGGTCAGGAGTTCAAGACCAGCCTGGCCATCAGGGTGAAACCCCATCTTAAAAAAAAAAAAGAAAAGAAAGTAAAGGAATAAAATAATGGCTACTTGGCCGGGTGTGGCAGCTCACGCCTGTAATCCAAGCACTTTGGAGGCCAAGACGGGCAGATCACATGAGGTAGGGAGTTCACGACCAGCCTGACCAACATGGTGAAACCTTGTCTTTAAAAAGGAAAAAAAAAAAAAAGAATGGCTACCCCATAGAGCAGCCCTGAGAGCTGCTGGCTGCCCATTGCTATGGTTATTTCTTGATGATATGCTAAACAAGGGCTGGATTATTCATGCCTCCCCTATTTAGAGCATATAGGGTAACTTCCTGACGTTGCCTTGGCATCTGTAAACTATCATGGCGCTGGTCGGAGCGTAGCAGCGAGGACGACCGGAGGACGCTCTCATCGCCATCTTGGTTTTGGTGGGTTTTAGTCGGTTTCTTTACTGTAAGCTGTTTTATCAGCAAGGTCTTTATGACCTGTATTTTGTGCTAAACCCCTATGGCTTAGAATGCCTTAACGGTTTGGGAAACCAAACCGTTAGGTTTCATCCTCATTTTTACCCAGCTTCTGTTCAAGATGGAGTTGCTCTGGTTCACATGCCTCTGACAATTACAGAGCCACAGAGTCTGTATATAAACCAAAAGTAAGACTATAAGCCACCCCCCACCCAACCAACTGAATAGACCTTTCCCCTTTGGCCAAGAGGATTTCAAAGAAATCTGAAAAAATGGCCGGGTGCAGTGGCTCACACCTGTAATCTCAGCACTTTGGGAGGCCGAGGTGGGCGGATCACCTGAGGTCAGAAGTTCGAGGCCAGCCTGACCAACATGGAGAAACCCTATCTCTGCTAAAAATACAAAATTCGAAGCCGGGCACGGTAGCTTATGCCTGTAATCCCAGCACCTTGGAAGGTCAAGGTGGGTAGATCAGGAGCTCAGGAGATTGAAACCATCCTGGCCAACATAGTGAAGCGCTGTCTGTACTAAAACTTAGCTGGGCATGGTGGCAGGCACCTGTAGTCTCAGGTACTTGGGAGGCGGAGGCAGAAGAATCGCTTAAACCCAGGAGGCGGAGGTTGCAGTGAGCTGAGATTGCAACACTGCACTCCAGCCTGGCAACAGAGGGAGACTCCATCTCAGAAAAAAAAAAAAAATTAGCCGGGTGTGGTGGCACATGCCTGTAACCCCAGCTACTTGGGAGGCTGAGGCAGGAGGATTGCTTGAACCCGGGAGGTGGAGGTTGCAGTGAGCCAAGACTGCAGCACTGTACTCCAGCCTGGGCAACAAGAGGAAAACTCTGTCTCAAAAAAGAAAAACAAAAAACAAGAAACCTGAAGAACTTGTTCAGACCACTATGTGGGGTCAGAGGTGCCTAACTCTATCCTCTTCCCGTTGGAGTTCAGGCACAGCTGATCAGCACTGACATCTTAAGAGTGACAGAACAGACTCTTTGTAGCTCCCAAACCCCAACCTGATTCTGGGATAACATCACATGCCAGCAGACCCTGAAAGAAATCAAAGTCTTTTACCCCAAGAGATTTCTTTGACATATTGTGAAACAACTCTGCAAAGCTTTCTCTTTTAGGGGAAATCCACATTCTGTACAATCTACACTCTGTCCCCAGGCTGGAGCTCAATCCCCAACCTTTTGGGCACCAGGGACTGGTTTTATGGAAGGCAGTTTTTCCACGGACAGGGTGGCGTGGTTTCCAGAGAAGGCTGTTCCACCTCAGATCATCAGGCATTAGATTCTCAGAAGGAGCTCGCATGTGCAGTTCACAACAGGGTTTGCACTTCGGAGACTCTAATGGTACCTCGGATCTCACAGAAGGCAGAGTTCAGGTGGTAATGCTCACTCACCGGCCACTTGTCTCCTGCAGTGTGGACTGGTTCCTAACAGGCCACAGACTGGTCCTGGTACCATGGCCCAGGGGTTGGGGACCTCTGCCGTAGAGAATCCCCTTTCCCTTTCCAGGTCTTTTTCTGCTCCTGAAGAGATGAGCTGACCCTCCTTCAGTTCCACTGCTGCACGACCTTTCCTGCCTCAGGGCCTGGGAACCTGCTGACTTCCCTGCCTGGAAAGTTCTTCCCTCCTTACCTTTACTTCTACGGGGCCGTCACATCTTGGCTAACAGGTGAGTCGCTCAAAGAAACCTCTGGTCTCCCTGATGGGTTCGGGTCTGGGAGTGGTGCACGGGGTTGGGGGGTGGTGCCCAGAGCTGGGGGCTGGGGGTGGTGCCTGGGGTTAGTGTCTGGAGCAGTGCACGGGGTTGGGGGCGGGGGTCCTAGTACTGTGGCCCAGGGGTTGGGGACCTCTGTCATAGAGAATCCCCTTTCCCTTTCCAGGTCTTTTTCTGCTCCTGAAGCGATGAGCTGAGAGCACCTCTGAAAGGTCTGAAAAGGAAACATTTGCCATCCATTGCCTCTAAAGGTGGCCAACTATGAGACATCATCTACACAATAAGAACCTTCATCTCCACAACCCCTTATCTTAACCCTGACACTCCTTTCTACCAATTTCAGGTCTTCAGATAATAACGCATTCAACAACTGCCAATCAGAAAATCTGTGTCCACCGATGCCCGGTAAGCCCCCGCTTTGAGTTGTCCTGCCTTTCCAGACAGAACCGATGTATATCTCACAGGTATTAGTTGACGTCTTATGTCTCCCTCCAACATAGAAACCAAGCAGGTGTTGCCTGGCTAACAATCTTTGTCCACAGAAAACGCAAATTAGCTGTGTCCAGTTAAATGCAATTGACCATTGCGCTAGAGATAGACTAGTTTTTGCAAATTCATTTCAGCATTCTTTTGACTTCTTTGGGTTTTTTGGTTTCGTTTTTTGTGTTTTTGTTTGAAACAGGGTCTCTGTTGCCCATGCTGAAGTGATCCTTTTGCCTCAGCCTCCAGGGTAGCTGGGAGCACAGGTAAACGCCACCACGCCTGGCTAATTTTTTTCTTAAAATTTTTGTTGTTGTTGTTGTTGTTGTTCCATAGAGACACAGTCTTGCCATGCTGCCCAGGCTGGTCTCAAACTCCTGACCTCCAGCAATCCTCCTGCCTTGGCCTCCCAAAGTGTTGGGATTACAGGCGTGAGCCACTACATCTGGCCAAATTCTTTAAACAATTCCTAAAATCTTCTGATGTTTTCGTTAAATATTTGACATGTTCACTTTATATGTATATGAAAGTCATGACTTTACCTTTAAAAAATGGTCAACATCTGACATTTCCTTCCGCCACCCCGCACTCCCATCCCACCCTCACATGTGACAGTTTAGCTTTCCACATGCCTCCGGCATCCATCCGCTTCTCCCCATCTTACCTGCCGCCAGAGGGTTGCACGAATTGGTTACGTTAGGCTCTACCTGGCCCTCCTGCCATCCATTCTCCACACAGCAGACAGAGTAATCTCATTACAATTCAAACTTCATGATGTATTTATCTATTTAGAGACTGGGCGGGGAAGGAGGCTCACTATGTTGACCAGACTGGTCTCAAACTCCTGGGGGATCCTTCCATCTCGGCCTCCCAAAGTGGTGGGATTACAGGCGTGCGCCACGGCGCCTGGCACAAACTTCACTGATGTCTCTTATCTGGTTAACCTCCTCCAAGAACTTCCCATGACTCCCAGAATAAAGACCGAGGTCCTCGCTGTACTCCAGCCTCTGCATGACCCGGCCGCTCTCACACCCGGGCTCGGCTGCACAACCAGCCCTCTGCCAGGCTGAGCTGAGCCTCTTCAGTTCCCCTGCTGCACGACCTGTCCTGCCTCGGCGACTCGGAAAGTTCTTCCCTCCTTCCCTTTACTCCTATGGGGCCGTCGCATCTTGGCTAACACGTGGATGGCCCAAAGAAACCTCTGGTCTCCCAGATGGGCTGGGGTCCTAGCTGCTGCTCTCCAGGGCGATGTCATGAAACCCGCACTTCTTGGCATTTATCTCCTCTCCCAGGTGAGCACCCATGCGGTTGAACGCTTGACTCACCTTCCAGGCTGCTAGGCGCCTGCGGCCCGGGCTCGCGTCCCTGACACGCAGGTGGCGCTTCCTGGAGGGGTGCATCGTGAGCGGGCGCCCGAGGACCGCCGGGTGCGCGCGACCGAGCGACGCCGGGGCTGAGCGGAGGGAAGGTGGAGACACGCTGAAGGGGCTCGCCGCCCCCGGGCTCAGGGCCCGCGCGTCGCCCCGGGCTGGCTTCCTTCTCCCGGCCCCGGGAGGCGCTGCGGCTCCTGAGCCCCCACCGCGGGCCGTGCGCTTCTCGGGGCCCCTCTTCTGCGCGCGCCCGACGCTACTTTCCGGCGCGCCCCGCAGGCTCGCCACGGGCCGGGCTCGCGCTTCGCAGGCTGCGGGCGGAACTCGGGGGTCGTGCGGACCGGGACGCGGGAGCGGGGCGGGGCGGGGCCGGGGGCGGGGCCGCGAGGGGACCCGGATGCGGCCCCGCCCCCCGCCCGCGGAACCGGAAGTGGAGCCTGGCGCCTGGGAGCGGAGGGCGAGGCGGGAGCCAGGGCCGACCCGGGCCAGAGCGAACCCCGGCGGCGGTGAGCCAGCGCGGCGTCCGCGCGGGCGGCAGGCTGGCTCTGCTGCCCCCCCCTTCTGTGGCGTCGCCGGGCCGCAAAAGGGGAAGGAAGCGACGGCCGCAGCGGTCTCACCGCTCTTCCGCTCGCGGTTTCGGGAGCTGGGGCAGAGCGGCCAGGCTTTCCCGGCCTGGGGCGGGGCCGGGCGAGGGCCGAGGGTCCGCGAGGGCCACGAGGTCGGGTCTGGGCCCGAGGGCCCGGGCTGGGGTCCGCGGAGGGCTCGGGGATGGGGTCCGCGGAGAAGGTTAGAGAGGGGCCAAACGGGGGTCCCAGCTCTGAGGGGAGGGTCCCTGGACCCCGAGGGCTTCAGGGCAGGAGAGGGGCCAGGCTGGGAGGGGTCGTGGGTCCAAGGGAATAGGAGAGGGGGATGGGCTCCGAGGGGGAGGGGATCGGGGCGTGAGGGAGAAGAGTTGGGCCTGCGGGGTTCAGGAATCCGAGCGGAGGGGGCCAGGTTTCCAGGGGCCGTGGAAGGTGAGGGAGGCGTGTTAGGGAAGGGGCCAGGGGCCTGAGAGAAAGGGGTCCAAGGGGAGGGGATTGGGGTCTGCCGAGGAGGGGTCCAGGGAAGGGAACTGGGGTTCCAGGGGAAGGGGTCCGCGGCTGTGGGGGGCTCGCTGTGGGACGCGGCGGAGCAGCTGGGGATCCTCCCGGCCCGCACCTGAGCGGAGGTTTTGCAATCAGGTCAGTGGAGGCAGCGAGGCGCGGCTGCAGCTAGTCGTGAGGCTCTAAATTTGGAACCGTCCCTCCTTCGGGGTGTATTTGAAATCACCAGAAAGGTGCTTTGGGGCTTTCTGTTTCCTGCGTTTCCATCGTCTGGATAGCCTAACGGGTGCCTGATCCCCGGCGCTGGAGGGCCTTGGATGAGAAGGGACAGGGCTTCCTCCCACTGGAATCTGTAGACGTGTCTGGCCCCCTAGGAAGGAATTCATTTTCTGCTGAAGGAAGCTCCGCAGGCATCCAGTGAGCGCTCCCTTTGGGCTCAGTGTTGACTTGGCTGCACAGGCTCTCTTGTGGGGGGACTTCACCCACTAGGACCTTAAGGCGTGGTCCATACCGCAGCCCTCAAGGCTGTGGCGCAGGAGGGACGCCTGCCCTGTCTCCAGTCCCGTGTTTGACCGTGCGGGTGAGTCACCGGCTCCAGAGCACTGAGTCCGTCCTATTTCTCCTCTGGTTAGAGAAGTATTCGCCAGATACTCAAGGAACAAGGAAGAGTCTTTTTTAAGTTGGAATCAAGGACCTATGAGAATAAAAAGTTGGGGAGGCAGGGTTGTTTTGATATGAGGTCCCCTGGAACTGGAAGCTATCCGTCTGCTAAAGCTTACTGAAAAGAAGTTTCTTGTGGCCTGGGGCGGGGTGCAGTGGCTCACACCTGTAATCCCAGCACTTTGGGAGGCTAAAGTGAGAGGATTATTTGAGTCCAGGAGTTCCAGACCAGCCTGGGCAACATGGGGAGACCTTGTGTCTACCAAAAAAGAAAAATGCGCCAGGCATGGTGGCAGGCACCTGTAGTCCCAGCTACTCGGGAGGCTTAGGCAGAGGATCTCTTGAGCCCAGGAGTTGGCGGCTGCAGTGAGCTATGATTGCACCACTGTACTCCAGCTTGGGTGACAGAGAAAGACCCTGTCCCCAGGCTGGAGGGCAGTGGCTTTTCACAGGTGCCATCTAGCGCACTGCAACCTTGAACTGCTGGCCTTAAGTGATCTTGCCACCTCAGCCTCCCAAGTAGCTGGGTTAGGGTTAGCTTAGCTGCCTTTTTTTTTTTTTTTTTTTTT